TGACTTAGCTATCTTATGAGATAGCTAAGTCATAATTATGAGATACTATCTCATAATTATGAGATAACTAAGTCATAATTATGAGATACAAGTTTTATTTTTTTATCAGGGTGGCGGAAATGGGCTTCCATACTTTTGAGTTAATGAGGAGAACAATATATTGTTTGCAGATTTTATTTGTGATTTAATGTATGTGGCCATGAAAAATAATTGTAATTATTGAGAAAGGACCAGGTTCTTCCTGCTCCCTTTTCACTCATGCATTGTATGTGTTAAACGAAAATGTGTTTGTATGTTATAATGAGGAAAAATTGTCGAATTGAGTGAATGAACTTATTGATTGATTGATAAATACGCATTTTATCATTGAATTAAGCCTATTATAAAATCTGTTACTAGGCAGGTTTCTCTACTCGCCAGCAGGAGCTGCGTTATTGAGCTCGACGGTAAAAAAAAAAAATCTCTGCTCCGCTCAACTCCGGAAGTTCCGCAGAGGAGAACAAAAAGAGAGAGGGAGGAGAAGGAGCTGCAGGAAACTTCTGAGCTTCTTCAAGTCAAACACCACCTCGGTGCGGGGGGATTTTTAAACCAACGGGAAACAGATCAGTCTCCTCGCTTCTTTTATTTATTTATTATTATTTTTTTGTTTGTTTCCTGATTATTAGCGGAGTTCCTGATGGGTCTCCCGACGCTGGAGTTCAGCGACTCTCTGCTGGACAGCCCCGAGTTCAGAGAGAGGCTGCAGTGCCATGAAGTCGAGCTGGAGCGCACRAACAGGTTTATCAAAGACCTCATCAAAGATGGAAACCTGCTCATATCTGCCCTCAGAAGTAAGTCAGTGATGACTTGTGTTTGGGGGAGTTAGTTAGCATTATGATAACAGAGAGGACGCTCCAAGGCCATCAGCTCAGTGCGTGTCTGCTTGTTATAAACACTCTTTATGAAGGTAATTACTGTGTTATACAGGGAGAACAGTCAATATGTGATGCAATAATAGACCATTCATTGTTATTAATACCAGGATCTCAGTTTTTGTTCTTGATCACATAGCCCATGGCATATTTATACACCAATAAACCCTATATTATATAAATACTGCTTATCTAATACAATTTTAATAGAATRTGCTTGAATATATGTATATTGTGCTAATATTCATCATTTTCTGTARGCCCTGGTTTCATTTAATAACTTTTTGTAAATAATCTGTTTGGATCTAAAACAGTTTTATGGGTCAAGTTTGTATTTCGCGTAAATTCTGTTAAAGAAATAAGAAGAAGTGTTTTTGTGGCAGGCTGTGAACAACAACATTCATAAAGATTAAGTTTTAAATGATTTCTTCCAAAGTTGTTTGTTTTGTGTTGATTAAATGTTCAATTCAATTCAATTAAAAAACGTATTAATTTCATTAAAAAATAACTATTTACAATAGAAAACAAAGAAAATACACAAATCAAAAAAATCAAAATAAAATGAAAGGTAGCAGAAGAATAAATCTTATAATGTCTGCCCCTTTTAACCCCAGAATATATCCAAACAAAACATAATTTGCAAAACAGTACAAATAACAATAAAAAACATCAACTCAAACAACAATTTGTTTTACTTTTCCATATACCTTTAACAAACTATCTTTTATTATCTGTCTCTTAAATATATACATAGATCTGGAATTTTTAAGAGCATCCTTCAGACCAGTGTTTCCCAAAGTTGGGGTCGGGACCCAAAGTGGGGTCCCGAAACATCAAGGTGGGGTCCTTAAAAGAT